AGTGAATTTAAGTAATTGAGTCAATCTTTCACCCTATTCCAGTGAGTGGGATACCATAATAGGTGTTGGAGAGATACTAAGTTTGCTAAACCACACCCATCTCTAGTACATCACATGTCGATTAGTGAAGGGGGTCTTCAGGTGGTGAGACAACAAGAGTATAAAGTCTCATAAGTTCGTTTAAACTAAAATTGCTTCATTTCCTCCATTCTAAATGGACAAAAACTTCGATTATTATTTCATAGCGAAGTATATCAAAGAAATTATACACGTAGACATCAAGTAAACCATTGGGAGTATACGGAAACGTAATCTCCTTTATTTCTTTTTGCGTGTTATTGTGTGTTTGTGCATGTGCGCATATTGAGAAATTGGTGGAGGGCAGTCAGTAGAAGAGAGAGTAAAGTATAAATTAAAACAAGAGAAAGATGCTGGCAAAATTATCTTATGTCTCTATCCTAAGTTAAGCACATCTTGGGAGCAGTAGTGCCTTATAGAACCTGAATCCCCTTGGCGGAGGGCTCAGACCAAGATTTCCAAATTATATAAAAACACAAAAATGGAGATCAAGAGATAGATACTCTTTCTATTCATATTCAAAAATGAAATGATCAAATAAAATTCTTTAAAATTAATAGTAGGAATTTCAATTGATGCAGATAAATCTCAGAGCATACAGTCATCCTTCACTAGTCTTATGACACATACAGTTGACATTTGTGATACCAATGAAGAAAACAAAAATTTTGAACCTTATTGAGCGATCTAGTTCATCTAAATTAGGTTCAGTTGATCATGCAATCATCAACCACCATGACAACGTGCTCAATGCTATAAAAAATATTTAGATGGTAGAATTAAAAAGATCCAAATAAAAGTGCTCAAGTAATCGTATTTCATAAATAAGGAAACTTGCAAAGTTGCTATAATTTTTAAATCTAAGGATAAAACGAGAAAGCAGCCAAAGTTTCAAAGGGACTACTTCAAATGAATAACATCCAGGTTATAGGAGTTTGCTAAGACTGCAAATAAATTCATGAAAATGATACCTACAATAAACAATCTTTAAAATACATTAAAATTAAAGTTATCAATTTATAATTTAAATGTATTTGACACATTATTGATTAATTTTGGCTGCCAAACTGTTAATTTTTCTCAACCCTGTTGCACCAAAAAGAATGACTAGTTTATTGGGTTGTAAACGAGCCGAGCTTGCGCGAGCTCAGGCTTGCCTCATGTTTGGCTCGTTCGAAATTGCTTGTGTTCGAAATAGGCTAGTGTTCGAAACCGGCTCATGAACAGTGTATGCGTGTTCGGTTTGAAATTGGCTCGTTAAAATTAAACTGAAAAAATTGATGTAGAGTGCTGAATTCGAACCTGAATCAAATATATGCAAAACATGACGCATAACCACATTACCACAAGAGCAGTTACGATTTATTTATTTCGAGCTAAAACGAGCCGAACACGAGCGAACAAAGAGTTGTTCGTGTTCGGCTCATTTATAATTCAAGTTTTAAAAACTTGTTCGTATTCAGCTCGTTTATTTAACAAACGAGCCGAACACGAGTTGTTCGCGAACAACGAGCTTTTTTGACGGCCCTACTAGTTTATAAAGGGGTTCACTAAGCAAAAAATACAAATATTTGTAAATTACATGGATTTGGGAAACAAAATGAATCATTTATGCATGAAGAAAAGCTGATAATTAGTATATTTAGTTGATCACAGATGCCCTAAAGCAGTAAAAAAGATCCATAATCATCATGAAAAATATGAACAATGCAGAGAATTAATTATATTATTAGCAAGATTTTGAAAATGCCTGTGCATGCTCATCGCAACTAGAAAAAATTTAGTTAAGCTGATTGCCAATTTCTGCTAACTATATAAAATCCTGGAAGCATGCAATGATGCAATGCTATTTATTCAAATTACCGGTTGATTGTAAATGAGCCAGGATCAAAATTTCTAGACCCAGCTAATTGATAGAGATATAATTTTAGCATAGATATGTGAGCCCCAACAAAAAAGCCTAAGCAAAGGTCTGTAACTGAAAAAAATAAATAAATAACAGCAGCCACAACTAAGTCTATACAGCTATGGAGAACAACAACTACCACGGGAAGAAAGAGCCATCGTAGGATGCTAGAAAGAGGGGGTAATAATTAGGAGACTTTAAATTAGGGATGGAAACTATAAGTTGAGCATCAAGTCCGGCTAACTATTCTTCCAGGAGAGAGCATGTTGTAGAAGAGTGGAAGAGGAGAGAAGAACATGATGAAGAAAAATGGCATAATAAAGAAGGACAAAAAAGAATAGAAAGAGGGAAACAATGGAGAGGGCAAGAAGAATATAAAAAGATGCTAAAGAAAAAGGGAGATAACTTGTAGTCTCGCGTATTCCACGGAGAACTTTAAAGCTTTATTTCATAAAGTAAATTCTCTTTTAATTTTATTTTTTTGGCTGACAAATATCCCAACTTTTAGGCGAGCCACTTAAATACCAAGGAAGTTTTTAAGGCTTTCCAAGTCCTTAGTTTAAATTCTTTGGATAGTTGGTATTCCCATCTCCTCATTTCTTCAAAATCGTTTCTCATTATAATTATATCATTTATAGCAGCTATCAATGCTTGGATTTTACCATCCTTGGATCTTTTCTTATGAATGAAAGGTGATCACCGAGAATTTACTTTAAGTTTATCATTTCCATGGCTTTGGCAAATATTCTAAACCATATGCATTAGCAAGAGCTTATAAACTAGAATATAAGTTTTTCTTGTTTTCCTAGTAGAGAATAGACATGCATGGTAAAGCTAAGAGTAATTAATGTGAGAATATCATGATCATCATATATATTACCCAAAAAAAATATATACATTGACATGAATCTTAAAACAACATTTATACGCTCTTTATTCTCCGGTGCTTATATTCGTCTCCCTTGGCTTTCTTCTTCTGTTATTTATTTTTTTAGCTTTTGATGCTGCATTACTGTGGGCTAGAATTGATACATACGACGGAAATAAGAAAGAAAAAAAGTAGAAGGACCACGTGTGCAGGATATTGGTGTCTCATTTCAAAATGGCATGTACCTTGTCATTTAACTCAAGTTAATAGGCACTTGACATCCTCGATGATATTTTCCCCCTTAGAATTATGCTGCATAACTTTGTGAACATATTCACAAACTTGTTCATATTAAGTTTAAAGCAAATAAAACAAAATTTTCAACAAGAAAACTAACAAAAGAATAGTCTATGCTTCCTTTATTTTTCCTCAAACATAAAATAAATATATTTGTCTAGCAATGGATTCAAGTCATGCTCTAACCTTACAGCAAAAAAGATTTTTGGCTCAATATTATGTAATACAGTATGGCTATTCATATAACAACGTTATCTACAAATACAATGTATTTTGTTCAATTTATATAACCTAGAGAGAATGGTGATTATGTTTTTTTTTTTTTTTTGTGCCTTTTGTTTAAGAACTTAGGTAATCTAACATCTAGATGTTTGTATATTTGACTAGCATCTAAGTGTTAGATTTAAATGACAATTATAACATTATTATTTAAGGACTTCAACGAGCAAAGCAAATGATGTTTGCTAATAACATCAATAGTAAGCCTCAAACAAAAATCCTATAGGTTTACAAGTTTGATTTTCTGCCAAAATATTTGGATTAAACTTCTAAATTTTCAACGGAATAGGCTAAAATCTTATCGATTGCACAATCACAATGTAAAACCCAAACATCTTGAATACATAATGAGCTAGATCAAAAGTAAAACATCAAAAGAAAAAAGCATGAGAAATTCAATTTTAAAATCAAAAAAAGCTTTAAAAAATAACAAAATCAAAGCAATGTGACTAAAATAAATAAAATATAAACCAAACATAATTTTAGAACGCAAGCCATGAGAAAAGGTCAGCACCAATGTTACAACCCTCATAACAAAGCAATGAATATGAGAGGATAATAGAAAACTTCAAGCCTGTCTCAAATGCCAAAAGATTAGGAAAAAAGAGAGGGAAATTTGAGGGTGCCCATAACTTAAGAAATTCAATTGAGAAGATGCTCATAAATTAAGAAATTCATTAGGGAAGAAGAGAAAAAAATTCAATGGGGAAAAAAGAGAGAAGATTCGTAGCCCGATTCGTTCATTTGCATGCTCTAATTCTCCCTAATGGGGAGTATTTATACAAGTACATTTGTGTACCCACAACTCCATAAATTCATCTAGAGGAAGAGAGAAGAACCACAGCTCAACGAGAGCACAGGTGTTGTGACCCTAAAAATAAAAAAAAGGGTTTTATAAAGGCTTTTAAAAGGATTTATCACCAACAGTTCGATAAAGATTTATGAATTTACTAAATTTTACCTTCGATTTGGATTAAATCTTGGATTTAGTAAATCTGAGAGTTCGGTGCATTTAATGATTTACGGATTTACTAAATCCCATTAATTTTAAAAACTACTTGCAACAAAACAGCTCCTTAGACACATCAATCTTAAATACTAGAGTTCGGTTGATTTGAGAAGTTACGGAATTACTGAAACTTATTAACTTTAAATTCTACTTGCAGCAAAACTGCCCCCTTAAACACTTCAATCTTGGCCCAAACTTCAAAAGTGGATTAGGAAATTAGAAGGACAATTTGAGAATGTCTATAACTCCTACAATATACTGGTGCTGAAGATAAGAGGTGAGCCATAGCTCAATTCATCCATTGGCATACCTTAAAAATCTCTAAGAGGGAGTATCTATTGCAGTACAAGATCCCAATGACCCGTTAAAGACCTATTAATTATCCAACAAGCACAAATAACATATAATCTAGCAAGACTCACGATGTCCCACTTACTACTAATCTACCTATTGTACCTATTACCCTAATAACTTTTCAATCAAAGGGCGGCATCCTCTAGAAGAAGAGTTAAACGGATCAGCAAAAGAAGAAAGTGACAGTATAGCACAGGAGTTCATCTCACAGTGACAGGGGCGTCGACTCGCTGGACGTTGCTTTCCTCGACAAGAATCTCCATGGCCTTAAGGCAGAGAGCCTTCACTTCCGACTCCTTCAGTGGCTCGCACCTCTTTAGCTGCTCTATTTGCCGGTCCAGGTCCGACATCTCCCTCCCTCCCTCCCTCGCTCCCTCTCTCTCTTCTCTATCTTTTGGGCTTTTGCTCGCGCTGGCTATTTTAGAACGGCGCCTCCTTCCCTTTTGCCGCCGGACCTTTTGAGCCGTGGTGTCGTAACTTCAGCACAGGCCTCACGGCCTCGCCCAGGTTAAATCTTGTGCAGCGATAAGTATATAAAGTAAAATGGCAGATTCTCAGATATCAGTCATTTTTATGTATACAAATTTAACATTTTAGCGGCATTTACATCCATAGTAAGTCTTCTTTATTTACATGTCTCACAACCAAATTTTCGAATTTTTCAGTATATCACTCAATTATTTCCCATCACATCAAAATTATTTACGAGCAATTTCGAACATCAGCTAATTTTGAACTGAAATAATATGAATCGAGCTGACTCAAGTCAATTTGTGATCACTCAAGCTCGGCTCGTTTATAGCCCTAAATGCAATCGAGCTGACTCAAGTCAATTTGTGATCACTCAAACTCAAGCTCGGCTCGTTTATAGCCCTACATGTCGTTATCATAAAATAATAATGACATTTTATTATCCTTTGTCACACTAAAGATTTATGCAAGATAATGATAAATTTAGCAGGTCGAAAATAAGCTCGATTTAAGTGAGTGTGTATCTTGTCCATCTTTCATTCCATAAGCTTGTTTGAATTCAACTTTTTGTTAAGAAATACTCATGAATTTTGTGCTTGTGTTCAGCTCATTTTGATCTAATTAATATAAACAATTTGTTTTCCACTAACATATAGCTTATATTCATTTAGGAGAATTTCTAATTTTAAAGTTAAACTTATATTTAAAAAATCAAATTTCTTAACCCAATTTTGTTTTTGAATCACACCCAAGGAAAAAATGAGAGAGAATAGGGGATAGATTGAGAGAAAGAGAGCTAAGTAGTTAGGCTTAATACAAGAATGAGCAGGATCGGGGAGATCAGAGGGGTGTTTTCCTTAGCTCCATTGAACTAAATAGCAGAATTAGAATCTAAATTTGGATCCTGATTTACATTTAATACCCCCTTTTTAAGGGTTGGTCGTCATTTCTAGATTTATAAACATATATGATTGTCTTACTGGTAATATCCCCATCAAAATTGGGGTTTTTCAGAGATCTTCTTCTAGTTGACTTCTTTAATGAATGGAAGGATTCTCTACCTTTAGTGGCTCTCATACTCGATCTCTCGTACTTGAACTTTCATAGTCGGCCTATGAGTTCATCGGAAATCTTTTGTATGACTTTCAAATATTTTGAATCAACCTCTTTGCTATTTGCCTTTGGACTTGTCTATTTGGCTAGCTTATACTGGAGGACAGGTCAAGTGTTTTTTCGCCCTTTGTCAATCCAAGTATCTAGTTCTGATTGTATCTATCCAGTTCCCCAATTCTTTCATATTTTAGGAAGCTATGCTGCAACAAGAACGGGGGAATTAAATGTAATAATTGGTCCTGAATTTCAATTTTTTGTCATAATTTGATAACTCTATGAAATTTTGGATCCAAACACCTAATAATAAAATGATAAGATGACTACTGAGTCTATTTACCAACTTCTCATTATTCATTTTATTTGTACTTCTTAATCTCATAGTCTAATGGAGAACCTCAACCAGCCAGCCACGAATAACCTAAATGAGGATTTGATTCATGGCAGGTTTAACAAGTAGAGACACAGATAGGGTGAGGAGAAAAAAAATATGGTAGTGAAGCGGAGAAGGATCGGTCAGTTCGTCAGTCATGAGTATTTGTTCAAAACTACACTAGAAGACATTATCACGGTGGTAATGGCTCTAGGAAATTGACAGTGGTTGATCTAACTCTAGCATCCCATAGATGGAATTCATCATGATCGGCCTACAGAGGTCATCAAAAATGACCCACAGCTCTACAAGCAAGTGGAATAGTTTAGATAGATATTTGTATTTAACTCCTTCAACAGAAGGTGGTTGAGAATAATGAGAGGGAAAATACCTTTCACAATGTGTTCTACCGAGATTAGTTTAGACTCAGCCTTTAGCTGCCTCTCTGTGATGAGTTGGTGAGTATCTTGAAGTTTAATGGAGTTGTCCAGGTATAAGTGATTTGAACTGCATTGCTATTAACATAACCATGGTGATGTTCATGCAATGAATGAATGTCCCTTGGTCGATCGAGTTGTTTAATTTTCTCTTCATCAACTGCTTCAATCCAAAGGGGTTCATGCAATTTCTTAAGAACAAGGTCTACTACTGGGGGTTAGAGAACAAGGTGAAGAATTGGAAGTGGGTGTTCTACTTTACCTCTATAAAGGGATGTTGGTTAATTGGGAATCTAAGTCCCCAAAGAGAAGGTCAAGCCAAAATTATCACATTGGCTCCTCCAATGTGCCTACAAGGTCATGGATGAGGAGCTCAGTTTACTCAAGTATCTCTAGGCTTATATTCTAAATAATGTGTTGAAACCACACTGATTTGGAGTCGTGATTAAGGAGGACTAACAGTTCAAAGACATTGCTTAGGACAAGGAAGAGGTGGCATTGGCAAAGGAAGGCTGAGAGGTAAGATCAGGTATTATGTCGATAGGTATGAGTTAGTGTATCTATTCTTCTTTCCTATGATTGTATTTCCAACAAATGGGGCTAACAACTGAATCATTATGGAAAGGATAAGTTATGCTGATATGGTACGGGATAAAAATGATCTCATGTCTTTTGTAGAAAATATTTCCTTGAGTGATGGTGAGGAGGAGGAAGTGGTCAGTTGAGATGCTGCAATAAGAGAGGGTCGACCCAACCATAGAGAGAGGTTGGAGGTACCTTATTTGGCCCATTGACAGTTGTATCAATTCATTTTTGACCTTTAACCTTATAGTAAGGGATTGTTGATCTTGAGGAAGGACAAGGAAGAGGTGGCATTGGCAAAGGAAGGCTGAGAGGTGAGATCAGGTATTATGTCGATAGGTATGAGTTAGTGTATCTATTCTTCTTTCTTATGATTGTATTTCCAACAAATGGGGCTAACAACTGAATCCTTATGGAAAGGATAAGTTATGTTGATATGGTACGGGATAAAAATGATCTCATGTCTTTTGTATAAAATATTTCCTTGAGTGATGGTAAGGAGGAGGAAGTGGTCAATTGAGATGCTGCAATAAGAGATGGTCGACCCAACCATAGAGGGGTTGGAGGTACCTTATTTAGCTCATTGACAGTTGTATCAATTCATTTTTGACCTTTAACCTCATAGTAAGGGATTGTTGATCTTGAGGAGGGAGAATTTCCTATCACTGGACTTGTAAATAGCAAAGGTGGAGAGGATAAGCCTCTTAGAAGGGAAAAGGCTACTAGTGGGTAGGAGGAGGAGGAGTCCTCCATTGATAAGAAGAGGTTAGAGTAGGTCCATTAAAATTTAGAACATAAGAGAAAAATAAAGTAGCCCTAGAGGATGTGTCACCTTCAAAATGGAGCATTTGATTGCCCCTAAGAAGATCCAACCAAAGTGAATCCTACCCAAGAAGAAGGAGGATGAGGGGGTGAAATTGAGAGAGGATGATTGATTTACCCTTATCGATTGGTTTAAAGACTGGAACACCTAAGTGACTTGTGGGTTGTAATACAACTATCGCCTGGGTACCACCCTTTCTTCTCTTTTTACAAATGAGTCTTTTAGTGTCAAGGATATGGGTATCTTTCCATTGAGGTTGTGATGCATGCCTAGTGTGTGCTACTTTTCTGTAGATTCAAACCCTTACACTTAATTTACTAATAATTCTACTTTTGTAATTCCAAAATGTGTTTCTAATAATTTATATTCACTAGGTCGTAAACGCAAGTATACGTATCGCTCAAGTAATATAGGGTTCTAACGGAGTCATAAGTATCGATCCCACAAGGAGAATGTTAAACTCTTTCTTAATTAAAAGGACTTAAATAGATATTATAAGAACTACGACAGCTATAACTATGATAACTAAAGTTAAATGTGAAATACAAGTCTAACAAAGCTAAATCTACTATGCTAATTTTTGCAAACTTAAAAGTTAAATCTACTATAGGCAGGTAAAGTAATTTTAATGAAGGTTTCAAATTTAAGAAAAGTATCTTTCCCATTTACAATAAGGTGTTAGCTAGTAAAGAATCAAATCTATTATTAATTACATGTGACAAATAGGAGCAAGATGTTTTGAATCCACTTCTATGGTTAGGCTGAGAGGATACTTGCTCTGACTCCAGAGCACCCACTTCTCCCTCACTTGAAGGCTAACATTCTCACCATATGGTTTTTAAACATTTGAACCAATTTGTTGATTTTAGTCTGTCACCTCAAAATCACCAAGTCTACACCCATCAAACAATATTTCTCTATTTACTTGCACTCAATCTCATAGAGACTTCACTCTTCCATGACATTAAAGTGTGATCCCTACTTGAATG